TATATATATATATATATATATATATATATATATATATAATGTTTATGGCAAGCCTGAAATATTGCAAAATGCCATAATTTAAAAAATGTTCACCAACTATTGGGCTATGTCAAGAGGACATATCCTTTACTGACAAAATCTAAGAAACATGAAAATACATAAAATTATATAAATAGGATCATATTTTGTAGCCTTTTGAGTGAGATAGGAATTTGTTAGTATGTTGTGTTATAAATATGTAAATACATGTAGAAGAAGAGAAAATTCTTTCCTGTAGTAATTAGAGTGCCGACGAATACATTTAGAAAAGGCAGATAAGCCAGATGTCACTTGGCAGTGAACACAATGATATTTCTATCAATGGGTATTAAATCTGGTAGATAAAGTTATGTGAGCTGGCCAGGTGTCCTGGCACTTGTCTATAGTCTCTGCCCAAGGAAGCAGGAAGCAGGTTGGGCTACAGAGTGAGTTCCAAGTTGTTCTGGGCTCTATAGACTCCCTAGCAAAACTGTCTGTCAAAAATCCATATAAAAGGTAGTTATTCTTAATCTACCTTCTCATCAAATACAACATAGTTTAGACACTGAGAAGAGGAGAAGTTGATAGATTCCAACTTAACCAACTGATAAAAGCCAGTATCTTTAACAGGTGGTGGTGGAACACGACTTTAATCACAGAACTTGGGAGGCATAAGCAGGTAGAACTCTGTCAGTTCCAGGACAGCCTGGTCTTCAGAGCTATTTCTAGGACAGCCAAGGCTATACAAAGAGACCCTGTCTCAAAGAACCAAAAAAAAAAAAAAAAAAAAAAAGTATCTTCTGTATAGAGACAAATTCCTATATAGTGTTCCTGATCCAGTGAGAAATGCAAGCATTCTTACCCCAAATGCAAATGCAGAAGCCCTAGGGAAATACTACACAACACAACAGAGAGAGGATATACATAGTGACAAACCACTTTTTAAAAATGCCCAAGAAACCCAGCAGTTGTTTCAGGCAAGAGACCCAGTTTGAGACATGGTATTTACATCTTATGAGTGACCTTGGATCCAGAAAGAATATGATTGAATTACTGGCATATCTAAACTAAACAGCAAATTAGATCCCCCAATTTTAAGTGTCATTGTGCTTAGGAAGTACACATAGAAAAAAAAAAAAAAAAGCAAAGAGGCATCATGTCTACCGCTATGGTCAAGTGGGTCTGCAGGTCTTATTGTCTACAGATACTGAAGGGTATCTGTAAACTCCATTTATTTAAATGTTAATATCAACTTGAAATGATCTCAAAAACAAACAAACAACAACAACAACCAAAACCCCACAAAAACAAAACAAAAACCCCTAGGCTCTGGGCCCAGAGAAGTGGTCAATTGAATCTTCTTCATGTGTAATGTCCTGCCTGTTCACTGAGAGCCTCTCCTAAGAATCATCTCTCTGCTGTGAGCTGCCTGACCAGAACCACTGTGCCCTGATGAGGCCGTGAGTTCTAGCCTAGAATGCCTAGACCTAGTCCTTGGACAGTTTATGATTTACTCAAATATCCAAGGCCCCATGGAGAACATTCAATGTTACAATATTAGGGACAGTGGTGACTAAAATAATTCATATTTGTGTAGATGACTAGTGGTCTTAATGACCTCCTGTCAACAAATGAGCAGTAGGGGTGGAATTCTTTGGAAGAGCAAGTTTAGAAAATTCTAGAAAGTGCAGGGAAGAGAGGTGTTGAGTCAAGAGGATTCCATCGGGTTTACTTTATCTTGGAGGACAACTCTTCTAGATGTATATTGTTTTACTAATCATACAGCCTCTAAAATGGTCCTTTAGGGTCCTAAGATTGGTGTTTTTCAAAAGTTCTTTCTGAAAATCCAGTAGTGTTCCTGTTTTGCCTTTTGCTGGATGCTGCTGAAATACATCCATCCTAGATTGTTTTCTGTTTTTTCTGTTGCTGAGATAACATGGACCAAAACCAACTTGGAAAGAATTTATTTGGCTTACACAGCCAATATCTTTGGGAGAACCTGGAGGCAGGAACCCGGAGGCAGGAACTGAAGCAGAAACCATAGAGGAACACTGCTTTTTAGTTTGCTCCCCTGCTTGTCTTTTTTACACAGCCCAGACAAGTGCTACCAGGGCCCTCCTCCATCAAGTAGCAATTAAGAAGATGCCCACAGACAGCTTCACGGGCCGGTCTGATAGGAGTCATTTCTTAGTTGAGACTCTTCTCTTCCCTGCTACTTCTAGGTTTATGTCAAGTGTCAAAAATGAACTGTAATGACAATGTGGTTTATACAGAGAAATACCTCTATAATTCTACCTGTGTAACTCAGGCAGTATACATATTTTGTGATCCTCAATTAGTGAAATTTATATCTGAGGTTTTAATTTATAATTGGCCTTATTTTTAATTCTATTATTGGAAACCATCCAATTCCATAACATAAGTTTTCCTAAGGTCTTTTGTTTGTTTGTTGGGTTTTGTTTGTTTGTTTTCCAAGGCAGGATTTCTCTGCATACCCCTGGCTGTCCTTGAGCTCAATCTGTAGATGAGGCTGGCCTTGAATTCAGAGACCCACTTGCCTCTGCTTCCAGAGTGCTGAGATTAAAGATGTGTGCCATCACCACCTGGCTCCAAAGTCTTAATTCTGTGTCCATTAGTCATTTTGCTGTTCACTGCAGACTTCCAGTTTTTGCCTCCCTTTCCTGCATCCGCTCACTAAGCTACTAAAAACTCAGGTATCTATTCTAAGTCATTCATAAAAGCTTAGTGTGAAACTAATGAGCTATCTACTTCCTTCTATTATGAACGCTAATAACCTTTTTTTTTTTTTTTGTGACCTGGTATATATATATTTCTTTCTTCAATCAGCTGTTCAGAGAAGTCCAGATTCTTACAAAAACAGATATTTGTAAGAGAACAAGGCATATTCTGGAATCCTACTCAGAAACTATACTGCCTGCCTTTTCAGCGGTGGACAACCCAATCAGTACTGCACTTCAAGATAAGATGAAACACTACACAGATGAAGGCGTGCTTAAGTGTCAGTAAACCCAGGGTTGGGGGGTGGGGTGGCCATTTCTGCCACTGCAGACAGAAGCTCTTTATTGAAACATGTGCAATTCAATGAGGAAGGAGATCTTTTTTCAAAAGAGGGAGAGAAAAGTTAAGATTAAACAAGTACACTCATGGGGGCTGGAGAGATGGCTCAGTGGTTAAGAGCACTGGCTGCTCTTCCAAAGGACTGGGGTTCAATCCCCATCACCTACATAGAAGCTCACAACCGTCTGTAACTCCTGTTCCAGGGGATCTGACTCCCTCACAAACATAGGCAAACCACCAAAGCATATAAAATAAAAAGACAAATTTAAAAAAAAGTATAGTCATTATTATAAAGTTATATTATGGGCGCTATAATTTTTAATTTTATAATACACACCTCAAAGCCAAGCATAGTAAAATCCTCCTCACAAATGGGCACAGCACAGAACTCTTGCCTCTGCTGGCCACTACCCGGAGAATAACCTGAGGCTTTGAAGTGTCCACTAGAAGATCTGGGTTACACATAGTTGTGAGATGACCTAAGCAGAGTGTTGGCTGTGCAAGCATGGGCTCTGAAACTCTGGACCCCAGAACCACGTACAAGCTGGGCAGGCCTGGTGGGCATCTGTAACCCCAGCACTTGGGAGGCAGAGACAGGATTCTAAGGGGGGGCTGGCTCACTGGACCAGCTGAATGTGCAGTTCCAGGTACAACAGGGGACCACAGTTCAATAAATAAAATGGAGAGCAATGGAGAGAGATGCTTGAGGTCAACTGTGGGTCTCCACACATGCTTGCACATCTACCCACACACATGTGGCCACACATGTAAATGTGCATACACACATGTACACAGACTACACATACACATGCAAAACATGACTGTGAGACGCTCATCTAAGGAGACTTGCTGGTCGCACTGGAAGGTAATGATCACTTAACAGAGAGCAAATCCAATATTTTTTTATAGTAGCTTTTCTTACAGTTTTTGAAAGTCCCTGCTGACCCCCCTGTTTATTTATTCATTTTTTAACTTGAACATGCTTGCTTTGACAGATATGAAGATGACTGCCACGTGCTTACTCCTCCCGGATGTTTTCGGGGATGATCCCAGCCTTTTTGTCATTGTGAATGAGAAGGTATGCAGTATGTTTGTGGCCGTTCATGTCATACCTTCATAGAAGGTGAGTGGCCTAGTTGAGTCGTTTCATCATATTTATGATTGCTCTACACTCTAACTAGCTAATTTACTGTAATGTTGTTCAATGTTGGGCATGCTTTATCACATGGCTGTTCTATGTATTCGTGGGTGGTGACATCATTCCCTCTCTTTTAGGTGCGCGTGTCCACACCTGTGTTGGAAGTTAAAAACCCTTTCCACATCAACGGCTGTGAGTTTTCTCTGTATCTGGACAAAGAGAAGGTCATGAAGATGGATGACTGTGTCACGGCTCTGGCTGCTTTGGTGGCCGCTTTCCTTGTATTTGGGGCTGAGTGTCCGAGAAGGCTGGCCCAAACCTTGAACTTCCTAGAGACATTGATCTTTGATGTGCAGAGTCCCTGGTTTCCCTCTTTGAAAGAAAAAAAATCAGATCTCAACCTCCGATCACTTAAGAGCATGTGAATTAACCCTCCAGGGCAGCAGAAGCTTCATAAACAATTGCAGATTGATTTAGGTTTGGTTGCCTTAGAGGTAGGGATTAGAAAAATCATGCTCTCTTAAGTGTTTTTGATGTCTGTTTCTTTACCTTATGTTCAGGAATAAAACACTACTTAAAAGCTCTGATTTTCATCTGAGTTCATTGGAATTTGATGGCCAAGGTTTCATGTTCCAGAAACTTTAACCTGACATAAAAGACCTGAGATAAAATCTTCCCAGTTAGGATCTGACCCTGAATTTAACTAAGTGTGATAGCTAGAGAGTGTTGGCTTGAAATCCCGTGAGCTGGATGGCTGCCTGCTTAGTGTCTTAGAACTTAGATTGGAAACATCATGAACTTGAATATTTAAGAACTTGAATATTTTAAAAAGAGGTACGTGCTCCTCAGTTTCCTTACCCCAGATGGCCTGCCTGGTCTAATATGTTTTTGTTTCCTTCAATCAACACTGTGTGCGAGGGCAGCTTCAATCATGAGGTGTCCTCCTTGGCTGACCACCTTGGTGGCACAGGGTCAGTTCATATGTGTTTATCTTCCATGGTTCCTTCCCTTGAGACTCAGTGGTCACATTGGAAATTTGATTGTTCATGTCTAACAAGGGTGAGCCAGTACTTCTGGGATCTAAGAGACTAGGACCCTCTCTGTTCTCTGAAGAATTCCTCAAGAAAAAACTGTAAGAGCTTCAAGTTGTGCTTTGATATTCTCATCAAACTCTCCTGTTATTTGCTAACCTCTAGATGACAGGAGAGCAGGGGGTACATTCTGGGTATTGCAGAGACTTCAATATGTTAATACTTGCAATATAATCCGATAAGCATTTTCTGGGTTATTTCAACAACAGATTTTTTAAAATGCTAAACATTTTAAATTTTTTTCTTTTTAACTAAAATATAGTAACTTCCTTACAAACCTTTTAAGTCTGGATTTACCAGTTTCTGAAGTACTTCTTTCCTTACAGGCTCTATAGTCTCTGTGGGAAGCTAAGGGTCGTTCAGGCTGTGCAGGATGGCAGGGTGGCGCTGTGGGCCAGCTGGGCTCTAAACTTGAACAAATGCTGGCGCGGGCAGTCTTGACTTGCATGCACTAATATCTTCAGGCTGGGAGTCCATCACATGTAGAAGATGAGAATGCTGTGTATGGCAAACATGGGCCTGCAGACAGCTTTCATTTGCCTTACATGGTGTTTTAAATCTTTCATCAGCCCTCCCGCTTTTCTCCTGTAACACCTAGAGCAAGTCCCCATCATGGGACAGTCAAAAAGATCACCTGCTTGATGTACAAAGAGTCCTGTGCTGCCTAAGAATGTTCAATGCTTTCTTTTTTTCCCCCAATAGAATGGCATACTGCTTAGGAGTGAGATTTTTAGTAAGATTTAAAAATCTTATTTCATTACAGCATTCACTTTAAATTAGAAGAAAAAGAACATTATCAATGTGGTTGAAAACTACTTGAGCTAAAAAATGTGATTTCTGACTTTTTAAAATACTTATCCTACCATCTAAGTATACTGACAAAAATATCTAAACTTAGTCATCAGATTCCTGCATTGTCCCCCTGCCAAACACAGCTTTATGTATGTGTGGGCTAGTGGTCCATTTCTTGTATTACTGTGTCTTCCTGTCTTCCTACTCTTCCCCAACTGACTCCTGCTTTTTTTTTTTTTTTTTAAACGAGTCCGAGTGTTTGTCTGCATGTTATGTCAGTGCACCTAATGCCTGTGGAGGCCAGGAGAGGGTGGTTAGATCTTCTGAAGCTGGAGTTACAGAGGGCTGTGAGTTGCCACGTAGGTGCTGAACATTGAGCAGCAAGTACTTTTAACCACCAAGATATTTCTCTAGCCTCACTACCTTATTTTCTTTTGAGGCATGGCTTCTCACGAATCTTGGAGCTCATAAATTCAGGCAGGCTTCCTGGCCAATGAGCTTCAGGTATCCAATTGCCTTCACCCTCACTGCATGGGGTTACAGACATGTGTGATTTTTACGTGGCTGCTGGGGATTCAAGATCCGGTCCTCAGGCTACCGTGACAGGTTCCTTCGCCATGGAGGCATCGCCCCAGTCCTTTAGTGTTGTTGTTGATTTGTTGTTGTTTTGGAGTGGAGCAGGTCAAACCCAGGGCCTTGCAAGTGCCAGATAGGCATATTGCGTTCTAATACTAAAATACAACCAAGACTTATATAACTTTTCCCAGATGTGATATTATTTCCATTTTTTTCTACCTTTCCCATTTAACAACCTCCTTAAAAAAATCATACATATATAAAAGGAATCTGTAATTAAATTTTATTTCATTCATATCACATGTAACAAGTGCAAGTTAAAATGTACAAATACTGAACACAACAAAAGAAAAGGGAAAAAAAGGAACAATAAAAAGCGTATTTAGCAGATTCATGCAAAGAAATGAATAGGACACCGCTGATGTCACGGACCCTGTTTCACCTTGAATAATGACAAAGCACTGATAATAAACTCCTACTATGGCACATCAAAGGAAGTCCTACATCAGAAAAACATTAAAGAGTTTGTGGAAAGAGGCGGGACGTGCCCCAGAGTTCCGAAGGCATGCTACTAAACTTTCTATTTTTAAAGCAGTCCTTGAATAAAGGTCTAATCCTGGAATTAGAAAGTACATCAAAAGACTGACAAAATAATTTACCTTTCCCTCAGAAGTGCATGCTTACAAAAGAAACACTGCCAACTATGAGTTTATAAATAACCAAGGGCTTTCATTTAAAGTGCATCCAGATGCTTAGAAATCAAGGCAAAATATGTTTTAGGAAAAGGAATCTTTCTACATTGGAGGTTCCCGGAAAAACGGCTTTGGGAGCCGCTCTCTCGACCCGTGAGCAGGAAGAATTTTGAGGCTGCTGGAGTGACTGTCCCAGCAGGTCTACGCAGGAAGAGCTACGCACTGCTTCTCAGCTCACTCTGAGGCGATGCTCTGGGTCTGGAGGACCTGGGAGAATGATGGGACTCTTGAAGGATTAGTGTTTCCAGCAACAGAGGGAGTCCTTTTCGGTAAAGCACCAGTTCCTTCCATGCCATTTACAGCGATGCACACAATAACCTCATAAATCAAGTTCCTCATCAACTTGCCCGGGGATAGGACTGCAACATCCTCTGGTGGGCACCGTGATGTACAAAAACCGATTCTGCTCAAGATACACTACTTCATTCAAATCTAAGTAGGTTTATATATTTTATTTTTCAGTTCCATTCTTTTATATACACTTTTTTGGTAATAACAGTAAAGATGCTGGTGAAAAGTAATTTGTTTAACAATTCATGATGCGTGCAAAAGTGAAAACATGGATTCCAAGAAAGGTAGTATTTACAATGCTTCAGTCCCAACAGAGGATGGCGCAGAGTTAGGCAAGGTCTCGACTCACAGAGTTACACTTGGCTAATGCTGCAATTCCAAATATGGCACAGGGCGACCATGACTGACACCAGTCCCAGGCTAAACTCAGCCAGGTTTCAACGGATTTGGTTTAAGTTGAAATTCAGTTATATAAAAAGGTTTCTGAAAGTATTGGAAAAAAAAAAGATAGTGTACATGAAAGAGAATCCAACGATGTTTACAAAATGCCAAAAGTTCTGTTTGCCCCACCCCGTCCATAAATAATGAAGCCTCCCTTTCCCCACCCACCTCCCATCTCCAAAAGATTTACAAAGATAAGTTTAGCTCAATGAGCAGAACCGAAAGGTGAGTGTTGTTGGACAGTAGCTGGTGAGAAGCTAAAGCATTTCCTAGGAATGCGTACGCAGTCTGGAGGGACAGCCGGTCCCATGGTCTGCTCTTGTGAGTTCTGAAGACTTCTCACTGGGAGCTAGAGCCGTCCTTGTGCTTTGAAGAAACATGATGAGCTACAAAGCGGAAGCTGATGGTGCCAGAATTCGCTGTCTTCACAGTTCGTTGTGGGAATTCTTCTCTGCAGCTTTGAACATCAGAATAGAATTGAAAATTTTGAGAGCTGGGCCCAGCTTAATGCTCATAATTTTTACAATGTCTGTTTGGGTCATGAGTAAAAATGCTTCTCCATCGATTTGCTGGAACAAACGGGGAAAAAAAACAAAAAACAAGAATGTGGGTTAACCAGATGCAGAGTTGTGGGAGTAGCCAAAGCTATATGCTGTATTACCAGCTGACTTCGACATACAACAATACCAACTAGGCACACACAGGAGCTCCTGAACACAACGTGCTTGATCTAAGGGTCTTTCTTATCTAAAACCACACATCCAACAGGGTTAAACTCAATTGTCTGAAACCTCAGTTCGCAGAAAAATGAAAAGCGGCCGAAATCCTTAGAAGTTAAAATGTGTGTGTAAGAGGCCAGAGTCAATTCTGAATGTCTGCCTCTACAGCTCTCCACTTTAGTCTTATCGACCTTGAAGCTTGCCATTCCAGCCCAACTGTCTAGACAGTGATTTCCAGGGATTCCCCCTGTCCATTTCTCAGTCCTGGGATTTTAGCCATGTGCTGCCACGCCTGGTTTTCTATGTGAGCGGTGGGGACCCAAAGGTCTTTATGTTTCTACTGCAGGCACTTTACCTACCGAGCCATCTCCCCACCCCAGACCTTCTTATGTTCCCCTGAATTAGGTAGTGAGTCAAGAAGACTATTTAGGACGTTTTAGTTACAAAAGATAATAGAGCTTTGGCCATAAAATATTCCAGGCAAAGAAACAGTTATATATGAAATCTAACAAATTCAGCAGTCTACCATGAAGGGGGGAAAAAAAAACGAGAGAGACAGTATTTACGTCTATCATGGCCATAATTAGCCTCCATATACAGAAGAGAAACAACCAACTGTGTGGTTGGAAGAATGTGAGGCCGATAAACTCTAGACAGTTTCTTCTACTATTGGAGTAATTGTATAAATTCTTTTTGTTTTGGCCCTTTCTAGGATGGAAAGCTTAATCACAGAATAGGACACTTTGAAGCTCAAAGCCACAACATGATGAAAATGAAATTTGGTTTAGTTGGGTGACAAATCAGACAGTTTTTTTTTTTTTTTTTTTTTTTTTTAATGATTTTTAGCCTTTAGGGTCTTGCATGGTCTTAAGACACATTAATTAGTTTCTCCTTCAATTTTCCCACTTTGAACAAAGAAATAAAACATATTTCAGTTCTTGCCTCAGAATAATTAGAAGCTTTGACCGCAATGAATGGTTGATGGAGGCTAGCTAACTTGTGTCTTCTGCAAATTCTTTTTGTTCTTGTTGTTGTTTTGTTTTTTCAAACGGGGCTTGTCTACATAGCCCTGGCTGTCCTGGAACTCACTATGTAGACCAGGCTGGCCTCAAACTCACAGAGATCCACCTGTCTGCCTCTGGAGTACTGGGATTAATGGTGTGTACCTCCAGACCCAGCTGTAAAATCTTTAAAAAATTTTTTTACTTGTACTTGATATGTGTTGGAGTTTTGCCTGAATGCATGCCTGTATGCATGAGCCTGGGGAGGATAGTAGAGGGTGTCTGATCCCCTGGGACTGGAGTTATTGACAGTTGTAGATCAGCCTTGGGTCCTCGGGAAGAGCAGTGCTGTAAACCACCGAGCAACCTTTCTGGCTTCTCTTTTGCAAATTCTTATCTTGTATTTCTAAACCCTAATTGCTCAGAATTGGAGCTTATCTGGAAATAGTGTCATTGCAACTTTAAGCAGTAACCGGTTAAGGTAAGGTCATACAGGTCAGATGAGCTCTTGGTCTTTGGACACAGAGACAAACACATAGGAAAACAGACAACTATCTATATGCTGAAGGAGAGGCTAGCACAGACCTCAGAAAGCTGACTTCTAGTCTTGCTTCAAGAACCATGAGACATTTCCACTACTTAAACTTATATAAATAGCTGGGGATTTTATGTTTTATTTATTTGTTTGTTTGTTTTTAACAGCTGCCTCATTCCACTACAAATAGAAGAAGAAAAAACAAGGGGCCGTTGAAGTGTCTCACTGGAAAAGCTTGACAACACGAGCTTTTCTGGGATCCAAAGGCAAAATAGAACTGACAGCCTCATGTTGTCCTTTGACTTTCACACACACTCTTTTATCAAGGAAAAAAAAAATGACAACAAATACTGGAGATGATGTGGGGAAAGAGGAATTCTTATTCCCTGTCGGCAAGAGTGAAAACTGGTGTTGCCATATAGAAAAATCAGTGTGGAAGTTTCTCAAGGAACTAAAAATAAGACTATGAGACTAAGAGATCCCTGGGTATATAAAAGGACTGTACACCCTATCGTAGAGGTGCACGCAAATCCATGTTTATTGATGCTGTATTCACAGTAGCAGGGAAATGCAGTCAGTCTATACATCTGTCAACAGTTGAATGGAAAATAAAAATGCTGTACATATACACAATGATATCTTAAGACAAAATTATAAAACCTGTAGGAAAATTGGTTGGGTCTGGAAATTAGTATATTAGGTGAAGTAACCAGACTCGAAAAGCTAAATATTTCATTCCTACCTTCTAATCGGAAGAGTTATTAAGGAAGTAGGATGGGAATGGTGACGAGCTATGTATGATACAGGAGCTGATTGAGAACTACTGGGACAGGAGGGGGGTGAGCAGCGAGATGGGGGAAAACCCTGTGTCGGGAGGCATTAGCCAAAAACCGAACATATGAAAATGACATAAGGAGGGGGCTAGAGAGATAGCTCAGCAGTTAAGAGCACTGACTGCTCTTCCAGAGGTCCCGAGTTCTTGTCCCAGCAACCACATGGTGGCTTACAATCATCTATACTGGAATCTGATTCCCATTTCTGGTGTGTGTTAAAACAGAGCATTCATAAAATAAATAAGTAAATCTTTAAAAAAAAAAAAAAAGAAAGAAAGAAAATGCCATTAGGAAACCTGTTATTTTGTATACTAATTTGTTCTTACACAGATTACTGAGATGCAGGTAAGAGCTAAGACTGCTCCTGGCTACAGGAGTAGTGTTTATTCAACTCACCACTAATTCATCAGATGGAGGTGAGTGTTGACATTATTAGTATGCTATCTGAATTTAAAATAATGAGAAAACCCCCACTGTCCTAAAACCCTGCTAATTTCTTCCTCTGACTCATTTCGGTGCTATAAACTATATAAGACCACACTATTAAGTTCTGTGTGGAGTTTTATAGTGAGTCTAGTGCTACTGTGCACGATCATGAAATTTCTCGTACAAGCTTTCCTTTGGAGCGCATCTTCTGTAGGACATTATAATTCAAGTGCTTAATGCTGCTTGTAATGCACCAAATGTCTACTGTGATAGACCTCATCTCTTCCTCACTGTTAACTTAGCACACTTCCCCACTGATGCATCTCTGTGCTTTGATCCCATTAAGAAACATATCGTGATGTAGTGGAACACTTACTTCGTCCTTAAACACTTTTCCGTGTTCTTCACACCCAGGCAAGCTCTGAATGAATTCTGACACCTGTCAAAAAGAGTATCAAAATTCCAAGTTTAAGAAAAAAAAAGAAGTTGGGATTCAAATACAGCAAGTTTAAAAATATTTGAACCATATAGCTTATGCAGTTCCCTCAAAATAGATTTTCTCTTATACGTGGAAAAGCCCTGCAAGACTGAACACTGCAGTCAATCCACTTGTCAGCACCCTTGCAGACTGTCCTGCAGACAAAATATGATAGCAAAGTAAAGTTATTAAAAGCAAAACCTACCTCATCTGTGCTCCATTTGGAAACTCTACTAGCAGGGATTCCAGCAACGGTTGGAAGGAGCTTGCTTTGCTGCTCCCAGCGCAGCGGCAGGCATGGAATTGGGGGCTTAAAGGAGAGAAAGACAGCTGACCTCCGCTGGGCCTGCTGGGCCTGGGGAGTTGGCTGAGCTGGCTGAGCCTGTTGAACCTGCTGAGGCTGCTGAGGCTGCTGAGGCTGCTGAGGCTGCTGGGCCTGCTGGGCCTGCTGGGCCTGCTGAAGAGGCTGCTGAGGAGGCTGCTGAGGCTGCTGGGCCTGCTGGGCCTGCTGGGCCTGCTGAGGCTGCTGAGCCTGTGTCTTCTGCTGAGCCTGTGTCTTCTGCTGAGCCTGTGGAATAGCCTGCTGAGGCAGCTGAGGAGGCGGAGCCTGCTGCACTGGCTGAGCCTGCTGAGGATGCTGGACAGGAGTGCTAGGCTCTTCCCGAACAACTGGTCAATGGAAAGAAAAAAATCATAATAATAATAATAGAAAATTGGTCTGGAAGGCAGCAGAACAGCCCAAGTGCCATGCATCCCACTGGATAATGACGTCAGAGAGGTAGACAATATCACACTCATGAGTAACTGTAGCTTTTCTGATGTTTGCCATGATGAATAAACGGTCTACACACGCTGTTGATGACTATTATGTGTTGCTCGTTGGTGCGCTAGAGAACCGTGCCTCAGAGCAGCACTCCGTTCTTCGGGCATTCTGTCTGTTCCCCTGAACTTCAGACGAAACGATGCCAACAGTTAGCAGTCTGCAGCTGCTGCAGCTGTGTTTACAGGTAGTAGCTTCTCCTGACCCATCCCAGCCATGATGTAATACAAGTTACTAATCATACTGCCATTGTGCAGCCATCAATGTTTTTAAAAAGAGATAAAAGTGATGCTCGATTTCCCCAGGACTATCCGGCTTCTGCACCTGAGCAACCCATGAGGGAGAGAACGCTTGCGGGAGAGAAAAAGGAACTGTACCTCTCCCTGGACATTAGATGCCAATGGAAGGGCCAGTTTACGGTATTCCTAGTGGGTAGGCTCTCCCCCATGGTGGAAATGAGTTATTTATCTAAAAAATTATAGTCAGTTTCCCAAAGGTCAAGTTCAGAAACAGCGTAAAAGAGAGGTCAAAATCATACAAACTGTACTGAATTGACTGGAAGGGCCTGAGTTTTGTTTTGTGTGTGTGTTTTTTTTTTGAACAATCAGTTTGTTCCAAGACTCCAAACAAAATAATCCTTGTGGGCCCAGAGAGCCTAAATCCTACTGTGCGGCTGCTACTCAGGCTACTCTGGTAAGTGTGGCCGTGCACCGTCCCAGAGGCAGACGGTAGGCTGTGCTGGATAGGGCTGCTCCACCTTGAAGAAACAGAAAGGACATGAACAGGGCATGCAGAGCCTGTGGATGATGCCATTTCTGACCTTTAGGCTTCAGCCTGACTGGATTGTGCTGAGAGAACCAAATGGAAGCAGCATGTGTTCTTCACAGAACTTTCTCTGGAGCACAATGGGATTAAAAAAAGAAGATGAAGCCACTGATTAACAGCCCTAAGAAATATTCAGGAGAGCATTCATGTATGGACAATAGAGTTTAATGATCTTCATAAGCCCCTGGGAACAAGGACTCTGCCAGGTAAGAAACAGGCTTTTGACAAAACCCACAGTTAGCCCAGTGTGCTTAGCTGCCTGCTGCAATGCTGGCACCAAAGAAGCTGTTAAATACTTGCAGTGCCAAACCTCGGTTCTAACATAAGACAGGCTGCCCATCAACAGAGACAAATGTAGCACAGGTAATAATGAACACTTTAACAGAAGGAATCTTTTTCAACTTCCGGAAGATCCGAATGTTAAAAATAAACAAACAAAGGAAACAAACTAGGAATACTAATTAATTTAAAGGCAAAAATCATGGAAAGAAGATTAGATTCAAGACTCAGATTCAATTTTCAAAAAGCAAACGCCCAGACCAAATTCAGTTGGCTTAATCCCACATACGTGGAATGAGGTTGATTTGTTTCTCTTCTGCTTGTTTTTCTTTAAGGAAGAACGAAGCGTAAAGTTCTGGTTGGATGCATAGTAGCTATCCAGGCACGTTATGCCCCTTCAGGATGAAGGCAAAGGTTCTCCTCGCTGTTGAAGAAGGCTTTCAGAGACCCCTTCTGTAGGAACCATCTAAGACAAAGGGAGCTTCTCTGGCAGGGTTTGACTGAAATGCCTTCCACAGGTTCCTGTCCTAAACCCTTGGTCTCAGTGTGTGTGCTGTTCTGGGTCTCACACGGGGTCTAGCTGGTAAACACAGGCCATATGGACACATCTTGTGGTTACAGCCCAGCCTGGTTTTGGCAGTCTCCCTCCGCTCCCTACTCTGCGCAGTGTACCACTCCATGCTACAGGCTCTCACGGCCACAGCCAAACCCCCAGTGCCCATGAGCCCCATACCATGCCCTGGGAGCAAGCCAGTGTCCTTTCCACAATGTCCTTTGGCAAGTATTTTGTACCCGAGAGGAAAGAAATACCTAACACTCCCTTCTCAATCAGCAGTTGAGGAGTGGTGGATTCCTAAACACAAAAGGCCGATCCCCTTGCTGGCCTTGGATTAACCTAAACCACGCAGGGCATCTGCTTCAGTTCTCTCTATCACACACCTGCCTCCTCATTCTACCCAAATCTGCTTCTCTCATGAGTTTCGCCCTCACATCCTCAGGATCTGCTTCTAGGGAGTTTGATCTAGGACAACAGGCTAAGTCTGCATTAAGAACTGAGAGGGAGAAAGACATCCAGCAACTGTGATCTAAGTTTTCAGTGACACAGAGATAATTACACAGCAGCAGCATCACCACAGAGATTACTCCAGCTACTAACATATTTCCAAGCAAGTATACGAGGGCTACATCAGGTTACGAAAGAGGAGATTGAGGCACAGACACACAGGTACTACAGGGGAGGTGAGGCCCGAATGGAAGCCTTGTTCTTGGCTTCTGATGACCAATGACCTACAGAGAAAAGCTGAATTCTTTGTATAAGAAGTCCAAACAGCTAACATTCATAGGTTAAATATTTCTTTCTTATAAATTATAAGTAACACTGTAGATAATCAAATATGTGTGCAGTGCTTATTATGGGACAGACTTTTGCTAAACAAGAAAAACTGTTATTGTTCTTCATCTTCTCGCAAGCTTATGGGCATATACTGTACCATTCTTCTGGATAAACAAGGAACAGAAGTACCCAGAGGCCTAAACACCATAGTAAAAGCCACCCAGGAGCAGGCAGAAGGCAAAGACAATGCCTGGTCAACTGTAGAATCTCTACGTAGTGCTACAGCAAATGCCATAAGCCACACTGAATATCTCGCTGTACACAGATTTCAGTGTAAACATTAATTACTGTTCTATAACAATCAGGCAATCATTACAGGCCAACAGTCACTATTTTCCATCCATTAACCCTAAAAATCATTGAAACAAGAAACACAGGAGAAAGAAAGTCTACCAGGAACAGCCAACACAGCGATGCCCAAACTAGCATCTTCACAAATAAACAACTACTCAGCTGTAAGTGGACTGTAAGTTCAAGCTATGTAATGACTGAGTAACGCCCTTGCTGCTTAAACCACCATCTTTTAAACAAAGGTAGAAGAAAAACAACTTAGTCCCAGCAAAAACTTGTTCAAGTGATGTTCTTTTCATTCGGTGCTTTTACATCAAGGCGAGATTTCAAAACACATTTGAATCAAGTGAAGTCGGCAATACTAAAGAAAGTATGTGGCAAGCACCAAAGAGAACATCTTTTCGAACCTTATATCTGATGTATTTACCAAGGCATGAGAGAAACTATGACCAGAGGCTACAAATGAATCTGTCATTGCAGGTTCCTCACTACCTGGATCCTGAGCAACATGCTTCTCTTGTTTTCATGAGGGGAGAAACAAATCCAGCTTATCTTCAGCAAAATGTGGTTGTTCTTTTCCAGTTGTTTGTATTTTGCTTTTATGTATTATGGTATGGTGAGTCAGACCCATTGCCTGGTGCATTCTAGGCATTGCACTGCCATGGAACCATATCCCTGCGCTAATAGTGTAATTTCTGGTTCTAGAATATTTATGGTAATAACCAACAGTGACATGATAATGTTATGGCTACCTTTGGCTTCAGCTGATGTCCTCACTTCATTTTCTGTTTTCTCTTCAGAAGCTTCTTTGACGTTATCAGCACGCTGTTCCCTGAGAAAAACAACTGTCTTCAGTATTTTATGTAGAAGAGTTGCAAAACATTTTAGAGCTGAGTCTTAGCGAGCGTTTTTCTTAAAGATTATGGCTGGTACCACTAAATATTAAAGAATAAAATTCTACCACAAAGCAACTAAAACCAATGACATACACGAACGCCCCCTTTCTTCACAATCACTTGTTGGCTCCTATTCAGATTTTTCAGCGGTGAGAACGCTATGAAGACAAACGGATAGGCAGCTAGTGCCTATCCCAACCACAGCTGGGAACATACAGAGGCAACAGCACTTGTACAGTTTGGTAAGATTCAAAACCCAAAACATTCCTGAAGTCTGTATTATGTAATTAATTAATTAACTTGCTCTACATTCCTCAGCCCTGAGATTTGGGGCTGAAGCTGAGCCTAGCCCACTGGCGTGTATCCCAATGCTGGGAAGCTTCTCTTGGCATGATCAGGTCAACTCAGCTGAAGTGAATTCAGCTTTTTTAATTCTGAAACAAACAGACCTTAAATATTCTAAAATTGAGACAATTTTATTAAAACTTTATTTTGGAACTCTGACCCTGAGGTTAAGAACAAAAACTGGTTCTTTTCAAATAAGGAGCTAGGTCCACAACATATACACTTTTAAAAATGGCCTAATGTATTCCATTTTGAAGGTCATGGGAAAGGCACTCTGCAATGTTATAGGGTATGCTATCTGGCTGCACAATAAAGAGCTTTATAATATTCTGACTCAGGCCGTACTTTTAAGGTTCAAGAAAAAGGTAAATACAATTAAACAGATTAGTTTTACACAAAAGAAATTCTTAGTTTTAGTTTGAAAGGCACTTGTTCTCCACTTGAAATTGCAGGGTAGTAGCACAACAAAACTATCAGAGGAAGCACGCAACAAATGTTCACTGTATTTTAGAGAGATTGTTTTCAAGAGTACATGTGAAATCTCATTTGAACCTGAGCTTCTGGCTTACTTTGCACTAAAACATCTTGTAACTGCTGAAGATTAGCACCTATTTGAAAATGAGGAGGAACCAGTTATTATGCAATGCAAATATTTTCCCAAGAAATTCAGAGAGCAGGTGAATGAAGACTTTGAGGAATCCACCTCCTTAAAAGCATCTGAAACCGGTTTAATCTGGTACTGGGCCAGCTCAACAGCTGGAGGCTCTTACTCCACACGTGAGAACTGATAGTTGACAATGGACATTACCTGAGGTGAGGGGGTGATGGAAAACCTTCTCCATAGAAACAGATGAGTAACCAACCCTGACTACACAGACCTGTAAACCTAGCTACTCAGGAGGCCAAGACAGGAGATTTACATTGTCAAGTATGTTCAAAGCCAGCCTGCGTCCGCTTAATGAGACCCTAGCCCCAAACAGAACAGCACATTAAAAAATCAGAAAGGAGGTGAGTGCAGCTCAACTACTGTGTGCATGGCCACCATGTGCAAGTACCATAATCCTTGGTAGTACAAAAATAAGCAAAAGCAAAATAAAACCATACAAGACCCAATGAAGTCATATTTCCTAATTACAGTATGTCAAAGACAACTTGCTACATGCTAAATTGACTCACAAATTTCTAGACTTGTTTGTACTAAGCCAGAAATAACATTCTTTGTGTCTTCAAGTTCTATCCAAATGTTGTGACTAGTGAAAAAAAAAAAAAGTAGCTTGTTGGTGTCTATATTAATATCATTAGAAAAAAAAATTACACACTGTTGTGAAATAATTTAAAATTTATATTTCTCAGAGTCAAAGAAATAATTTTCCAAGTACCTCTTGTACCTTTCCTAGAAAATTAAATGAATAACTGATTGATTTTTTTGAAAAGTGGGGCGGAGGGGGGAGAGGAAGACAAAAGGCGAAAGTTAAATCTTGGACTTTTCTGTGTTTGTGTTTTCATGACCAGGAATAACCGCTGATAACGATAGCTCCCCTCTTGTGGTTTGATAAGGCACAATTACTCTTCAAAGTAAATTGGGTTAAGATGCTCATGCCTTTAATCCTGGGACTCATGAAGTAGACACAGGGGGATCTCCGAGGCCAGTCTGGTCTACAGAGTGAGTTCCAGGAAGCCAGGGCTACACAGAGAAACCCTGTCTTGAAACACTAAACCAAACCAAACCAAACCAAAGCAAACAACAACAAAAAACTACTTAAACTTAAGAAAAACTCTTTTGTATTCTATGTCTAAATAAAATGTCAATTATTAATATCTTAAAATGCAAGGAAAAACACCTCTTTCTAAAAAAATCAAAGAAAAGAAAGGAAAAATAACATTTTCCAGTCAAAAATTTCCTTTATTCTTGAATCTGCCAAAATGTACTCCCCCCCCAAAAAAAAAAAAAAAAAAAGCTAACTGTATATTACTTATTTTTCTTTACAGAAACATGATCAGTTTTTCAAGTGTAACTCATGACTTTTCATGAGTCGGAATCATATAAACCTTAAACTATGTACGTGACAGGCCCTCCTGTGTTCTGCACGCTGTTTCCTTTGGCTGGAGTGGGAGGCGGGAGGAGTTGACTACAGCATGCGCGGTGAAGCAGAGAGGTGAATACAACCCTCGAGGTTAACGCAGCTTACCAGACCATCAGACAGGAGGAAAGGGTCATCCAACACTCTTGAGAATATCCTACAAGCCGGGGCATGGTGGCACACGCCTTTAATCCCAGTGCTTCAGAGGCAGAGACAGGCCTAAATCTTAGTTCGAAGCCAGCCTGGTCTACACAGTGAGTTCCAGGACAGTCAGGGTTACACAGTGAAAACCTGTCTCAAAAAAAAAAAAACCCAAACAAACCAACAATCCACACGTGGGCTGAGTGGCTGACAGGCTGGTTGGTCTACAGCATGCCCTGGGGCAAGGTCTTGTATTTTATACGCTGTAAAGATATCAAGTCCACATAACACGGGCAAGTACCCACCCAGGGCTTCCTGGTACCAAGGACCTAAAATTAGAATCAAAGTTTTTAACGTGTACACTTGGGTTTCTCTGAAATAAAGTACATATCCCTGGATGGCAAAGGGCGTGCTTCATGTCACACACTTATCCTCAACTTTCCCTTGTTTGAGAAAGCTGAGAATGAACACTCTGCCTACATGTTCCCAATTATCTTACGTTTTATCTAAAATTATTTTTTTTTTAAGTTTTCTTAATTGGGGACTCATTATTCCTCTCTTCTATGAGGTAAGAAATCTATCCTCATTGCCACTACCCTGATAGCTTTCTTCCTGTATGCAGAGATGAATCCTCATTCTAGAATTTCAGCTTCCTTGGCAGAAAGCTTTCTGCCTGCTCCTGCGGCACACGGTGGGCAGGTGAGCAGAGAAGACTGCCTGGCACACTGGCTCGGACCAGGGTAGAGACTTGAGGACTGGCCAACACAGGCTATGGAAAGGACAGAGGACTCAGGAATTTGCAAGGGTGGAAGGCAGGTAAAAGGGAGAGAGAGGTGAGTGGGATTGGGAAGCAATAGAAAATAAAAACAAACAACAAAAAACCCTAATTTTGATTTTATTATGTGTTGTTCAAGACGAAAACTTCTTGACCCAGTTTCCTCCATCATTACTCTCACTTGTGTCAACAGTCTCATTAATGCAGGAAACACACTACGGCTCCGTGAGTGTCCTTGGCGGGAAGTGGAGAGCTGTAATTTCAGCTCTGCTACTAACTAGTTTTGCATGAACATTGGCAGCAAGTTACTTAACCTCCCAAATTCTCAGTTTCACCATTGACAGAATAAGGACAATCAATACTAACATGACATTTGGAAGAGTAAATAAACCATATTGAGAAAGTGCCTCGCATAGGGCCAGGCACACAAGCAGGAGGCTGACACATGCCAGTTTTCTTGAGTGCTCAGTCCCTTCTAGGTTAGGATAAACTCCCTGTTTAGGTGAGCTGCTTTTCTAAGCATTATGATGGACCTAGAAGTGATGGTTTCCATAGCTAAACATCCAGAGGATTGGGTGATTGTGTTGGCACAAGGCTTTAACTGGGAGGCAGAGGCAGGAGTATCTCTGTGAGTTCAAGGCCAGCCTGGCCTACATAGTGAGACCAGGGCAGCTATAGTTTAAAAGCAAACAATAAAGATATAGGCTAGGAGGGCAACCTAGCATCTCCCGCATCCAGAGCAAAATGGGAAGCACAGGAAGATACCCGAAGAGGGTCCTGAGTGAGCAACTTCTCTTGGGGTGTTAGAGTTTACAAGAACTAGTTGATTATAAGATTTCTTTAGCTTAAACTGCATATAACTATGGCAAAAGCTTACTCTAGAAAACCCGCTCGGCTTTAATTAAGGCAGTAGAAGCTGTTTCGCTGGGGAAGCGGATTTTCCTGTGAGTCAGCCACCTCTTTCCCTGTATTTCTGTGTCACATTTTCTATGTCTTACTATCTTACTGGAATTATGCCTGTGGTAAATATTGGGGAAACAAACACAGGTAGATCAAGTGCCCAGGGAAACAGGTGGCAATTGAAGGCACATGGCTCATTTCCTCCAGAGTGCTAATTTTTTACTTAAAAACAATTCCTGACCAGTTATGTTTGAGCCAGCCCTAGCCTATTGAGAATGACGTTAAAAAAAAAAAATTAAACAATACATTATTTTGCTTCCATTCAGGGATGTGTCGGTTTTAGTCACTTCTCTAAATCCAGCATAGGAAAAGACAGGAGGCTGTGAGATGAAGGTAGAAGCATGCCTACGGATTAAGCACCTATACAAACTATAGGTTGCACTGTTTTGAATGCCAGAAAGCTACTTACTACCTCTTTGTATGACCCACTAGCACTTTTTAAAATTTTCTGGGTTAAAGTCATTCATAGATAAAATATCAAAGATCAAGAATCCTAGGTTATTAACCTGACCCCCAAGACGTCCTCTGCAAATGTAGAAATTCGACAAGCCTCAGAACAAAGAGGGTGCCCCTGGGATTGCAAACAGATGGTGGCTGAAACAGTGGATTAACTTCTTATGGCAATGGAGCCACT